TTTTTTTTTTTTTTTTTTTTTTTTTTTTTTTGTTACTTTGAATTTCTTAAGGACAAACACTATGTTTCTGGAGTATTCTCGGGTACTAATAAAACCAACAATAAATAAACTATCTGTGGCTTAAACAATTAGAAGTTTATCTCTAACACCAGAAGCCTGGAGGTCAACCTTTCCGGGAGTGATTCAGTGAGGGTGCTTGTCTGTCACCGCTGCCTATCTCCTGCGCTTCCACCATCCTGCCATGCAAGCTGAAGCGGTGATGAGGATTGGAAATGTGTACCGTGGTTATTCCATTTTTGGCCTTCAGGCACAGATTTTGACAGGTATCTGTGGATTCGTTGAATAGCCTTCAATTCATTTATGATCATTTTTCCAGGAGAGATTGGCTTTGTTTTTTTGAAACTAGCAGTTCAGAATTAGATGTGTGCACGCTTGAAAGGATCCCCAGCCCCAGCATGGAAGAATATTTGTCCACGTCACACAGTTCCCAGAAGCAGCGTGGCCCAGAGGAACTGTGGGATGGCAGGATGGCTTGGGGTCCGGGGTGGTAGCGTTATTCACCAGCCTCAGCTGTGTCGGAAATAGTGGGGGCCAGAAATGAGGCCTGGAGTAGCTTCACATCCCTAATGCGGGGCTTGTGGGGAGGCTTGCCCCTATTCCATTTACTCTACTTTAGTCACAGTGCAGATGCGCTTAACTGTTGAGTTAATTGCGTAGCTCGCTTAGTAGAAGCACGTAATGCAGAAGCGGGAGTGGAAGGGGTGTCTGGTGTGTGGGCAGGTAAACTGACTATGAAAGAAATGCAGGGGTGGCGAGTGGCTGAAGAGCAGCCCAAGGCTCTTCACATAGTGTATGTGGGTGCTGAGGAACTTTAAATCATCAAAAAAGGCTAAGTTTTGTTCATTCTGCCTATTTCAGAAAACATGTGGTGCATGAAAAATAACTTGCATCACTACGTGACTATGATCACAAACAGATTTTAGACATAAGAATATTTGATTTAAATACTGGCAGGTTCTGACATGGTAGTACTTGTTGGTAATGCCAGCATTCTGAGAGCCTGAGGCAGGAAGATCCCAAGTTGAAGCCCAGCCTGGGCAATTTAGTGTCATAGACCCCATCTCAAAGTAAAATAAAAAAGGTTGGGGTTGTAGCTCAATGCAAAGGCCTTGGGTTCAGTCCCCACTGCCATATATCTCAGGTGACAGCACCATAGGTGCTTTTTTAAAGGTATTGTATGTTTTGTAAACTTGTAAACAGCAGTCATAACTTTTCCTTTTAAACACAGCATACTTTCACTTCCAGAATGCTTCTTGATCAACTCCACCTAGTCTGATGATGTCATTTTTTCCAGATGTTGCTTTTGTCTTTGTTAAAACTGACCAAATAATGTTTTTTCTAATACATGTAGTAATAAAAGTCTTCCTTGTCCTGTGTGGCAACTTCCTTGGGTCCTGGAAATTGGACCAGTGGGCTTCAGCTGTGAGACTCAGCAATGCCTCCTGGAGAGGTTTTGCTGTGATCTCCCTGGGCCTCCTGTGCTTCATTCAGCTGTTAAGTTTTTGGCTTTGGGGAGTGTGTGGTTGGAGATTTTACGGGGCCATCTCCCTCTTTCAAGCGTCTTTGTCATTGTTCCCTGTTGGGAGACATATTTCTGCTGCCTGTCCTTCGTCAGGCTCCTTCCGAGTCCTGTCAATTCTGAATTGTGAGTGTTCACTCTAACCCCTTCCTTGCCTGGGTTTGGGTTGCCTAACCCTGCTACCAAGAGCAGCAGCCACCAGGACAGCAGAAACAGCAGCCCACAGCTGGATCTCCCCAATGCGGCGCTCTTCCTTTCCAGAGCTCAGCAGTACAGGGTGGTACATGTAAGAGCAGCTTTCAGCCTTGGCTGCCTGCTGGAGGCACCTGGGCAGCCAACTCGTACATCTGTAGAAGTTCGCGTGCCCAGGCTGGGCCCATCAGCATCACGGGAGTGGCATGCAGCGGGCGGTTCCGTTGTGCAGCCAGGATGGGAACTGATGACTTACAGTGATGCCTTATTTTACCCGATGATTTGCGCATGTGTTGTGTTTATTTTTTTCTAGTGGGAGTGTTTTTAACTTACCTTGTTAGCAGCAGTGATAATAAGGAGCCCATCATGTTGCAGTTAGAAAAATATCCTCTTAAAATGAAACAGGAAGGCAGCTAGCCTTTATTCCATGCTTAGTCATTTTACATATATCCTCGCCTTTGATGGTTCCTAGGAACCATCTTGCAAGGTAGATGGCAGTTTGTCTTTGCAGATATGAAACTAGCTTAATGAATAATACCTAGTTTTAGGTCACACAGCTCACAGATGGCAGAATCAGGCCCAAGAGATACCCAGGCCCTGTCCTTTCACTTTTTGCTGAGGTGTATATAAAATAGACGCTTTTAATTCTCCATGCAAAAATTTTGTAAAGGTTAGCACTTGGTTAACATAGGTCCTGGGTATCTGTTACATTTATTTATTGAGAATACTGTATGTCTCATAATGCCAGGATTGCTGTGTACATTTTGTCTTACTTCTCAGAGGTCAAACTGATTTTGACTAATAGATTATCGTTTTTGAAGAAATTTAACTTCATTAAATAAACTTGGAGTAAATAATATGTTTAACTCTGCCTGTGTCATGAAGGGGTGCTTCTTATTCAAACAATATATTTACTTGTCCCTCTTCCACCCTTCATCCACACAGTGGTAGGTGTGTGTGTGTGTGTGTGTGTGTGTGGAGGAAAACGCACAAGGACAAGGAGAGGAGAGAGAAGAGCTGGAGCCTGAAGGCCCCAGGCCATTCCCATGGCACCCAGTGACTTGGGGAGAGGTGGAGAGCTGGGACATGGAGCCATGGGAACCCCACACAGGGTGGATTGGCTTTTAGCACCAGTTCCTCTCCACCCCACCCACGCCTATCCCCCGGTTCTGAGAAGGGTGTTCCACTTCTTCCTTCTCATCCTGGCCTTCCTCTGGCCCGCTCTGAGGGGTGAGTGAGTGACGTTGGGAGTGGTTGGAGGCTTTTATCTTTGCTGAGAGCTTTGAAGAATCCTTCTCTGTTAGAATCTCTGGGCTAAGCCTTTTCCAAAGTGTAGAGATATCATTTCATTTCAACTTGAGTGGAAAGCAAACTGCCTCTGTCTTGTCCTTATCATCGACAGCTCTCCAACTGGGTCTTCTGTCTGTGTGTCACCACCTCGGAAAACAGGCAAGATGGCTGCGAACAAGAGCAAGGGCCAGAGCAGCCTGGCCCTGCACAAAGTGATCATGGTTGGCAGTGGAGGGGTCGGCAAGTCGGCCCTGACGCTTCAGTTCATGTATGACGAGGTAAGGCGCGCCCGTGAATGCTGCCCTGTGACTGTCTTCTCTGGCCTGTCCCTGCTTCAGCCTCGCTTCTGTGCTTCCCCACTTTGCATGGGGTGCATGAGCAAGGTCGTGTTGTGGTGGCTTTGGAGTCGCTTGCTGGGGCTTCTCACCACAGAAGCTCCGGGTTGCTGATCCTAGGTAATGACTTCAGCTGTGGTGCAGTGGCCGGGACGTGAGGTGCCTTTGCTCATGTGGTTTTCACTATCATTCTGTGAGGGAGGCGAGAGAAGCCTTTGTACAGGTGCCATAGTTTTTTAATCTTGCTTGTGTGTTGGAGGCTTGCTCCTCACCCCCAGACACTACAGGAGGTGGTGGGGTCTTTAGGAGGTGGGGCCCAGGGGAGGAAGTCAGGCCCTTGGGCACATGCTGGGGGGATATCAGGATCCTGGCCCATCCTGTATCTCTCATGTCTCGGTCACTGTGAAGTAGGCAGCTTCTTGCCCCGTGTGCTCCTGCTGTGATTGCTGCCTTGCCCACAGGCCTAAAAGCAACAGGGCTTTCCGTCCATAGACTGAAATCTCGGAAACTGTGAGCCAAAACAAACCTTTTCTTGTTACATGTTTTTATCACAAAAAGTAACCAATACAATAGGCATTTCTAAAGAACATATCAGATAGTTAGCTTTGTGACTGGTAAGTTTGGGGAGAGAAGGAAAGAGGAGCTGAGTTGTCATGAGAACCTAGCCATTCCCCAAGTGATGGATATCTAATTTGCCTGATTCTCCCATGCACAGGGCAAAGCTTGCACCATCCTTGTCCCAAATTCACATCATTTACTTAAGGTGGTTAATGTGACTGGTATTGAGCCCACTGTGACAACACAGCCTTGATTCCTGTGGCAGCCAGAGTCCCTGCTGGACAGCCACTCGCTGGACTTTGAGGCATTGTTGAGAGTGCACCTCAGGGCTTCTCCTGGGCGTGACACCCACATGGACGCATGCTGTCTGAAGTTTGCCAGAGAGATACCAGAACCTTGGTTGGCAAAGGTTACTCTGTCTCCCTTAGACTTTCCTCTGCCCCACTTCCTCTTAGGTTGAGTGCTGTTGGAGAGGCCATGGGCATTTTTGGCATCTGAGGTAAGTTGAGTTAGGGTTAGGATTAGTTGGGGAAGAATGGTGATATATATAGATATATAGATATATATATCTCCATCCTCTTTAGAGGCTGTCTTTGTTTTCTGCTACTATAACAGAATAGCTAAGAGTGGGAAATGTATAAAGAAAAGAGATTTATTTTGTCACATGGTTCTGGAAGTCCAAGAACATGGTCCTTGGCTTTAGTTGGCGGCCACATACTGCTGTGTGCATAACAGAAAGCAAGGGCAAAGATGGAGGGGACAAGGGGCCAGATGCTTTATAGCAACCTACTTGTGTGATAACCCACCTAATAGGAACTACTTTCATCCCTACAGGAGGGTGCATTCCTCTTAATCTCATTGTTTCATAAGGTTCAACCACTTCGCATCACCACAGTTAGCAGCCCAGCATGAGTTTTGGTGGGGACAAGCCACACTCACACCATAGCAGAGCTTGGCAGCTGAGAAAAGATTCCAATAGTGTAGGTGATTGAGGGGCCTCAAGATGTTAAATCCAAGAGCAGGTTTGGACGCAGAGCCCAAATCTAGGATCTGTTCTACTCAGCACCATGGCTGACGGCACAGGAGACTGGGAGTCTGGATGCTTTTTTTTTTATATGCATCTACGTATGTGTGCAGATGGCAGGAGGGGAGGGGAGGGTGCATGCAGAAGTGTTGAGAGTTTTTCTGTCTTTCCTAGCTTCTTCATAGGGAACAGAAAGCTCTGTTTGACCTTAGACTGTTTTTCCTGTGGGTGAACATATTTGAAGATCAGAAAGCAGCAGTTACTGCAGAAATGGTGAAATAAAATCAGGACAAGGAAAAAATAGAAATGAAGTGATGCATGTGTGGGGGAATCTTTAATTGATTTCCTAAAACACTGCTGTCTGGTAGAACTTTTGCATTGATGAAAATGTTCTTGTACTACTTAATCCATGTGGCTGCCATGCACTTGCATGTGGCTGATAGCTACCGCACGGGTCAAGTTAGTTCCAGGATCATCATTTTGGAGCTTGAGGAGAACCTAGAAATGATTCCCAAACACAGCTTATCATAGGATCTCCCAGGAGACCTTTTTAAAAAATCCCTTCTGAGTACCTTTTCTAGAGCTGAGAACTGGGGCTCTCTTTTTACAGCGCTCTCATGGTGCTCTTGAGGTGTGGCTGGGTACAGTAACTCCTGCCCGAGCAATCTAGTGTGGCCAGATTTCACAGAAAAGGAAACTGAGTCATAGGATATCGGCTGATTAAATCTCACGGACCATTCAGTCTCTTTGTTCCTCGCCCAGGGCTTTACTCTTAGGTTAAAATTCATTTAGTTTATATGATAGAATTTTCATAAAGATTAGACTATGGAAGGAGCCACTGTCTTTATTCCTGATGTCTTTATTCATTTCTGAATTTTGACTTTGACAATAATTAGGAGGAGCTGCTACTGTGGGGGCAACCCGACATTTTAAGCCTATTTTTGGAGTAGCATCATGGAAGATGCGTTCATCATCTTTCCGTCACTGTAACAACTTCCTGAGATAATAATTCATAAAGAGAAGGTTATTTTGACTTAACGGTTTTGGAGATTTCAGTCCATGGTCCATTGGCCACGGTGCTTTGGGGCCTCTGATGAGGCAGCACCACCAGGGTGGGAGTACGTGGCAGAGGAGAACTGCTCACCTCATGGCTGGGACACAAAAGAGAGAGGAAAGACTAGTCACACAGCCCTTCAGGAGCACACTGCCGGCAATCTGAAGGCCTCCTCCTGGCCCCAATGCATCACCCTTCCCAGCAGCTGTGTAGAGTGGGGGCCTTGCCTGTAACACCAGGCCGGGGGACACTCCAGATGTAAACTCTAGCAAGAACTTTCAACTTCTTACTGTTGCTGGGAAAGAGGGCTGGGGGATGAGGAGGCTTCAGGCTCAGCCTCCCACAAGGTCGTCTTCGACATGGCTCGGGAAGGGGTGTGAAGCGGGCCTTACACTTGTGTGTATGAGAGGAAGTTGCATGTATCTTTGCAAGTCCCGTAGAAGATGAGTGTAATTCGTGTTAACGGACAGAAACATGGGTGATTTCCTGTTTCTGCCCTGCAGAATCTGGGTTGCAGTGGAAGTTTGTAATAATATGTTTGGTTTTCACTTAGTGCAGAAGTAGGCGGGCATCTTGGGCTTTCTGACTCCCATGTCACGGGGATTGGGGACCCCTAGCTGGCCTCCCCTTCTGGAGCTCATAAGTACATAGCTGAGTGGTGGTTCTGTGGTGTGCAGAGATTTTAACTGAGAAGTGGGTTTGTTTTTTTTTTTAATTTGTATCCTTGGAAAGGAAGTTAAAAGGACAACTGTTGTGATGTGTACACAAGTTTTCACATTTTTCTTTCTGTGAACATAATTATTAGTATGAATTTAAGATAACCAAGTATTAAAATATTTTAGGATTTTTACTTTAATATTTAAAATCATTTGAATTTGCATTAATTTCCTATTGATAATATAAAGCTATTTTTAAGAGTATTATTTGAAAAGACCATTTTTCCCTGTTGATATTTTTCTGATTTTTAAATTAAAATTTTTAAAATTAGAACCTTAACATCTAATTCACATAGCCTGAAATTTCCTTTTTCTTTTTTTTTTTTTTTTCTGGTACCAGGGATTAAACTTGGGTCCTTAGGCTTGCGAGGCAGGTGCTAACGCCACGGAGCTAAATTCCCGGGCCCTGAAATTCACTTAAGTGTACAGTTCCTCTTTTGAGTGTTCATACAGATGTGCAGCATTCACCATTATCTAATTTTCATCACTCAGAAACAAACCAGCAGTTACTCCCACTCTTGTCTCTCCCTTCCTGCCATTCTCCACCCCTCCAGTCTACTTTGTATCTCAAAGGATTTGTCTGTTCCAGATAGTTCATACAAATAGGCTCATACAGTATGTGGCCTTTTTTTACTCACCATTTGGCTTCTTTTACTTACCATAATTGACAGGGTCTATCTGTGTTGAACATGCATCTTAACTTCATTTTTATTGACTGAGTAATATTCCATTGTCTGGATATACTATGTTTTGCCTGCCTGTTCATCACTTGATGGAAGTTGGGTTGTGACTGCTTTTTAGCTATTTTGAGCAAGTTGCTGTGAACGTTTATGTGCAAGTTTTTATGTATACATTTGTCTTACATCCCTCAGGTATATATTTAGGCATCCTATGCTAACTGTGTGTACGAGGAACTGCCAAACCATTTTCCATAGAAGCTGCAGCATTTCACACTCTCGTCACTTGTGTTTGAGGGTCCCAGTTCTCTGTATCCTTATCAGAGCTGTGAGCCCATCTTTTTGATTACGGCATCTTACAGGTTAGAAGTGGTCTCTCACGATTTCCGTTTCCGTCTGCATTTCCCTGATGTCGAGCATCTTTTTATATGCCTGTTGGCCGTTTATGTATCTTCGTTGGAGAATCGTCTCCCTAGATCCTTTGCTTTTATTTTTGTCCTGAGAATCGAACCCAGGGCCTCATACATGCTAAGCCTGTGCCCTACCACTGGGTACACCTAGGCTCTCTGGATTTTTTTTCCTTTGGTACCGGGGATCAAACTCAGGACCTTGAGCTTGTGATGCATGTGGCGGCACCACTGAGCTAAATCCCCGGCCCTCTCTGGATATTTTTAAACAGGGTATTCCTTTTTTTTATTGTTGAGTATTGAAAATTCTTCGTAGATTTTGGAAATATCTCTTATTAGACATGATTTACAAATACCATAGCCCATTCCCTGGGATGTCTTTTCATTTTCTTGATAGTGTCCTTTGAGGCAGGAATGCTTTCAGTTTCAGTGAAGCCAATTTGTCTGTTGCTTGTGCTTTTGATATCGTATCTATGAATCCAAACCCAAGATCATGAAGATTTATGCCTGTTATCTCCTACAAGTTTATAGTTTTAATTCTTATGTCTAGGTCCTTGGTCTATGTAGCGTTAATTTTTGTAGTAGGAAGTACGAGGTTCAGTTGTACCTGCACTATTTCACTTTTAAAAGTACATTTTTGTCATTAACTTATTTTTTTTCTGAATTCTTTGATGTTTAGCATCATTAAGATTACAGATTTTGATACATAACACAATATAAGGAAAATAGCTTTGAAATGATGTCATCATAACTAAATAATACAACCTTTGAAGGGAAGTTAAATATTGCTTTGACTTTTTTGCCTTTAATTATTTGGGATGCATTTTATCAAAATATTGTTCTAAAGTTTCATGAATTAAATTCTTTTTCTGTGTGTCTTCATTACCAGTGAGTATTCTGGTAGGCTTGTTTGCTTCAGTCTGTCTAACATCTTTCAAATTTGTTTTTGTCCTTTCAGAGTACCTTTTTGGCAAATGGATGCACGCATATAAAACTTACTTTCTATCTCCATACTTTCCTTGTGCAAATAGGGTAAACTATTACATTTTCAAGCTCTCTGTACGTAGTTATCTTCCTCACTTATTGTAGGGGCATAAAACTCCATGCGGGGGGGTCCCCGCTGCTGGGCGTTTAGGAGGTTTTTAATCTTTGGTGTTTATACTCAGTGCTGTGGTGAATTACTTTGCATGTTCCTGTGCCCGAGTTTCTGGAGATTAGATTCCTAGCAGCAGGGACAGAGGATAAGGTGCTTCTTTCATTTATCGGATGTTGACCAGGCCCTCTCAGGGGCTGTCGTCTTTTCCACTCACTGGCAGTGCACGGGAGTGTTTTCCCCAGTGTGTTGTCAGACTTTACGGGGTTTTGCCAGCTAGCTGGTGAAAATGGTATCTCAGTGTGGTTTTCTCACTGGTGGGGATGAACACCCTTGCATGTGTTTAGCATTGTTTGTATTTATTTTTACGTGAATTGCTTGTGCCCTTGCACATGTTCCCTATTTGATTGTTGATATCCACCCCCATTTCTAGGTAATCTATGTTAAAGAGATTGGCCTTTGTAATGTGGGTTCACATATTTTTTGTGTGTGTTATTTGCCTTTGTTTACAGTGTGTTGTGCCCTGCCAATGCTAGAGCAATTTTTTCTTTTTTTTAAGGTAGTCTAATTTATCAATTTTTTCTTACATGGCTTCTGGATTTTGAGTCATAGTTAAAAAGGCCTTCTCTACTTCAAGGTAATAAAAGGATTTCAACCATGTTTTCTTCTAGTACTTGATTGGTATTATTTTCAATGTTTAATTTTTTATCCATTTGTATTTTTTCATATGTAATATTTATTAATGCATACTAATTTTATAAAACATCAGGTTTCACCGGTGTTTTCATACATGTAACATGCTCTGGGCACATCCATTCCATTTGGATTTTTATCATATTGTAGTTATGTAAGTGCCTTATGCCAAATTACTTCTCGGATGATTTTTTTTATGTTTGTTATGTTTCTGAATAAGAGCTCCTCTGCTCTCCTGTGTCACCTTTTTTCAGTGTCGTATTATGATTTTATACTGTACTGACAATAATATTGCCAAGCATTCTGCTCTGTGCTTGTTTTTCTTATCTGTAAAGTGGGGATATCTGTTCCTGTTGTTTAAAGACAAAATAAAAAAGGGTAGAACAAAGAGCTAGAAAGAAGTGGAGTGTTATATAAATTACTATTTTTTTCTTTTATGAAAAAGTAAAACAAAATTTTCTAACAAATAGTAAGAGAATAACACTTAATACACCGTGTATCATTATCTTGAAAGTAATTACTCGTGTTATTTTATAGTGACTTATGCTTAGTATGGTAGTTGTCAGCACTCAATGAAGACTTAGTTGATTATATGCAAAGTACCTATATATCAAGTTTTATTTATTTGGACAGATTTTTTTTTCCTTTTAAAATTTTGATAATTACTGATGATTTGTTCCCCCAGTTTGTAGAAGACTATGAACCTACCAAAGCTGACAGTTACAGAAAGAAAGTGGTTCTTGATGGCGAAGAAGTCCAGATCGATATTCTGGACACAGCTGGACAAGAAGACTATGCGGCCATTCGAGACAACTACTTCCGGAGTGGGGAAGGGTTTCTGCTTGTGTTCTCGATCACGGAACACGAATCCTTCACGGCAACTGCCGAGTTCAGGTGTGTTGACCTGAAATGTCCATGGCCCTTGCTCCTCCTTCCTGCCACACACCAGGAATCCGGGGCTGAGCATAGTGGTAGAAGGTTGAGCTTGTTATTAGGAAGAATTCTGTTTATAGAGTTTCTGGGACTTTCTGCATCTTGAGACATGATAGTGTCTCATTATAATTTTTTATGACTTCTCTGTTTCAGGATTGGTGTATGTAAATTATCTTAAGACTTTTATCTCTAAAAGAGGGCACAGCTGTTCTTTACACCCAAGAGCCTGTTATCTGTTTGTGTAAATTGGAGGCTTGGACTGACATGATTTAACTGTTCTTCATTTTTTTCTTTAAATTTTACCAAAACCCAATTTTGATCTACTTTATTGATGAGACACTGGCAGAGAATGAGCAGTGTGAGCCAGAAGGACCGCTTGCCGCTGCTGGGAGGACTCTGAGCACAGTGGAGGGGACAGACCTAGTTCGAATCCCCCAGCCACTCACCAGCTTTGTAACCATGGACAAGGCTCCTTAGTATCAGAGGTTCTGTTTCTTTCTCTGGAAGTGTACTTGTCAGTTGAGAAATGAGACGTAGTGATGCATTTGCTTGTGAATTGCATGGGGGCAGGAATGAGGAAACCCTTCATCCTGTCTCCCTGTCTCCGCCCTCCTTTGTACCAGGTGGCACCTGGTACCTACGTATAGTGGGTGGGCTCTTCATGGTGCATTTTAAAATATGGCATTTAAAGATACTTTACATTTCCTTTTTAATTTTTAAACAAAAAGCCTTTGGGCATAATTCTATCTTCTTTAACTTTTTTAAACTACACACCTTTTCCATTTTTTTTTTTATTGAGTTGTCAGCACTCAATGAAGACTTAGTTGATTATATGCAAAGTACCTATATATCAAGTTTTATTTATTTGGACAGATTTTTTTTTCCTTTTAAAATTTTGATAATTACTGATGATTTGTTCCCCCAGTTTGTAGAAGACTATGAACCTACCAAAGCTGACAGTTACAGAAAGAAAGTGGTTCTTGATGGCGAAGAAGTCCAGATCGATATTCTGGACACAGCTGGACAAGAAGACTATGCGGCCATTCGAGACAACTACTTCCGGAGTGGGGAAGGGTTTCTGCTTGTGTTCTCGATCACGGAACACGAATCCTTCACGGCAACTGCCGAGTTCAGGTGTGTTGACCTGAAATGTCCATGGCCCTTGCTCCTCCTTCCTGCCACACACCAGGAATCCGGGGCTGAGCATAGTGGTAGAAGGTTGAGCTTGTTATTAGGAAGAATTCTGTTTATAGAGTTTCTGGGACTTTCTGCATCTTGAGACATGATAGTGTCTCATTATAATTTTTTATGACTTCTCTGTTTCAGGATTGGTGTATGTAAATTATCTTAAGACTTTTATCTCTAAAAGAGGGCACAGCTGTTCTTTACACCCAAGAGCCTGTTATCTGTTTGTGTAAATTGGAGGCTTGGACTGACATGATTTAACTGTTCTTCATTTTTTTCTTTAAATTTTACCAAAACCCAATTTTGATCTACTTTATTGATGAGACACTGGCAGAGAATGAGCAGTGTGAGCCAGAAGGACCGCTTGCCGCTGCTGGGAGGACTCTGAGCACAGTGGAGGGGACAGACCTAGTTCGAATCCCCCAGCCACTCACCAGCTTTGTAACCATGGACAAGGCTCCTTAGTATCAGAGGTTCTGTTTCTTTCTCTGGAAGTGTACTTGTCAGTTGAGAAATGAGACGTAGTGATGCATTTGCTTGTGAATTGCATGGGGGCAGGAATGAGGAAACCCTTCATCCTGTCTCCCTGTCTCCGCCCTCCTTTGTACCAGGTGGCACCTGGTACCTACGTATAGTGGGTGGGCTCTTCATGGTGCATTTTAAAATATGGCATTTAAAGATACTTTACATTTCCTTTTTAATTTTTAAACAAAAAGCCTTTGGGCATAATTCTATCTTCTTTAACTTTTTTAAACTACACACCTTTTCCATTTTTTTTTTTTTTTGAGTTTTTTGGTACATTTAGGGATACAGTACAGTTACATTCATTGTTGGGATCATGTACCTTTACATGGCAAGTGTTGATTCTCATTTTTTTTCCCCTTTTCCATTTTTATTATACAGTTGTATTTTTTTCATGTACCTTCCTTATAAACAAACATTTATGTAGGTCAACTTTCTCTTGCTGTGATAAAATTCCTGAGATAAAGAAAAGGAAGAGAGTGTATTTTGGCTCATAGGTTTGGAGGTTTTGGGCCTGTGCTGAGGCAAGCAGAGGAAATCTCACCTCCTTGCATCCAGGAAGTAGAGAGAGGGAGGGAGGGAGGGAGACAGAGAGGGATGGTAGAAGCTCCACTGTCCCCTTTAAGGCCATACCCCCAGTGACCTCACTTCCTCCCACTGCGTCCCATCTCCTAAAACTTCTACCACCTCCAGTAGTGCCAGAGGCTGGGGACCAAGCTTTGAACACATGGGCCTTTGGGGGACATCTAAGATGCCAACTATAACTAACCACATCTACCCGACATTTTAAGAACCAGAACTAGAGTCTAACAGGGCACTAATGAGGAAAACAGCTAAATAAAAAAACAGTCATTTTGGGGCCAGGGATTTAGGTCAGTGGTTCTACCTCCTGCCTTGCAAGTGCTAGGACTGGAGTTCGATCCCCGGTACCAAAAAAAAAAAAAAGTCATTTTGGCACGTTTTGGTCAGAAAGTAAGGTGACCAACCAAAGGTGAAAAGAGGAGGCTAAATATCCTCCCACAATTTGGAAGGAGGCATCCGTGAGCAAGGGAGGCCTCCAGGAGTGAGTGAATTCAGATAACGCAGCAGAGAGAGTGCAGGGTGCTAAGGTGTGACTTTTTTTTTTGCTTCAAAGAGTTGAATGTTCAGTGGGGACTTTTCTGCTTCTGCATTCCCTGCATTTTGTGAAGACCTACCTTGATACTTATAGGATAACATTTCACAATAACAACAATATTCAAAAGTGTTTCCACATAGTAAGTACAAAAAAGCAAATAGATACTTGAAGGTAACCCACAAGTAGCCTTGTAATACTCTACATTTGAAAGGGGGTCAAAGAGAACTACACTGTGTGTTAGAATGGCTAGAAGAGTAGAACTCGTGAGAATTCTTATGAACTTTTAGGCTTTTCAAATACTCCTAGAGGTTTCAGTATTTGAATATAGCCCACATTTAATTTTGTTTGTGTCTACACGACCCTGTTTTGTTATGACCTTGAGGATAAAACAGCACAGAGGCCCATCACGACCCTCATTTTCTTCCCTCCCGAGCCTTTTGATTTCTTACTTCTCCAAGACTCAACAAGATGGGAAGTGCCAGTCAGTGGCAGGGTCCTCTCCAGAGGAGGGACACTGCCCGGTCCTGCCCTCCGCTTCACCACATGCTTGTGGGGAGCATTTGTGGGTTCTGAGAGTCAGCGAGTGTCACCTCATCTTGGAAGGGCGTTTTGGTGGTTATATTGGAAGAAGGGTCCTTAGATGAAAAAGGACAGATGAATCCCTAAAACAAAAAAGAAAGAGAAGTTAATACTTCTGGCTTGAACTCTGGGCATTGAGGTGTAAGCCCCGGGACTGCCCATGTTTCTCTTGTCTGTGAAAACAGAAGAATGGAGGTAGATTTTCTGAAGCCTGCTGGCTAAACCCAGTCTCTTCACTTTATACCTGTTAGTTAGTGGTATCTGAAAATATTTGATATATGGTAGTTAAATTGACTATATGGAAACTTTTAGAAATGTTTTTACTATAAAACGCTACCTTGTGTGCTATGAATATCTATACAGATTTTTACAAAATCCAATTTCTAATGGAACTCTGTTTGGAATGTAGAAGTAGGACTGTCCCCACTGCCCAGCTGGTGGTTCATGCCTGTAATCCCAGCACTTAGGAGGCTGAGGCAGGTAGATCACCTCTTTGTGAGGCCAGCCTGGGCTACATAGTGAGCTCAAGGCCAGTTTGAATTGCATGAGACCCTGTCTCAAAAAAAAGAAAACAGGGCCAGGGATTTAGCTCAGTGGTTCTGCCACCTGCCTTGCAGGCACAAGGTCCCGAGTTTGATCCCTGGTATGGAAAAAAAAAAAGAAAAACAAAGGAATGTCTCCAATCGATCAAAATAATGTAAATGGAATATTTTTATTTCCTTATTTGGTTTTGATTAATACTTTAGGTAGCTGATTTTTCTTTTTTTTTTTTGTGGTACCGGGGATTGAACTCAGGTCCTTGCGCTTGCAAGGCAGGCCACCGAACCGCTGAGCTAAATCCCCGGCCCGCTGATTATTTTTATTAGAGATAAAATTTAGTGTGCCAGAGATAATGGTTTTTCTAAGAGATGTTTTTGAAATTCTTTTCCATACGCCTTAGAGTGTTTTTCACATTCTTCTCTTTAAAGTAGAAACAGTATGCATTGGAATATGAGTACGGCCTGACATTCTGTCCCCATCCTGCTGGCTGAAACATTTACTGTGTCTGACTGTTGTCTAAATGCTCAGTGTTGTGTCTTATGTGTGGTGGATACAGCTGGCCCTCCTGGGTCTGCAGGTTCCACATTCTTGGAGCGAAACTGTAGTCAAGCCTGTGATGGTTGTATTTGTATGAACACATACAGACTTCTTTTCCTCTCAGTTATTCCTTAAACAATGTAGTGTGATGACTATTGTGAGATGTTTCCCTGGATGAGGTTTTGTAAGTACTCTAGAGATGACTTCAAGTGCACAGGAGGATGTGCGTCAGTTATGTGCAAACCCCATGCCGTTTGATGTAAGACACTTGGACACCTGTGTATTTTGGTATCTGCACAAGTCCTAAAACTGGTGGCCTTTAGAGCCCTAGGTACAACTACACATAACAGATCTAATCGAAACAAGACCTTCCACAAACTGATACTTACTGCTTGGGATTTCTTTGGGTGTTCCTGTTTTACTCCACTGTATAATCTATTGCACTGAATAAAAAATAAGTAAAAGAGCAAAAATGCCCTGGTAATTGTGACCATCTAAACTGATTTCAAGATCCACTATCAGGCTACCTCCCATATGGAGAACACTAGATTATACAGCTTTTACAGTCACAGAATTTGTTTTTCTTCAGGGGAGTTTTTAAGCATTTGTTGAAGTACTTTTAGCATTTTTGGGGGGTGGGGTACTGGGGATCGAACTTGGGCCCTTGTGCTCGCGAGGCAGGTGGTGGAACCACTGAGCCTGACTTTTAGCTTTTTTTAACCTCCGAATTTCATAGGTTCTCCTCCCTCTTTTAAGTGTTACCATAAATTGGGGACCCTGTTGGCCTGCAGACTCCTGGATTCCTGCCCATAGGACTGTGGCCCCAGAATCTGTACTTACGGAGTGTGCCCAGAGGACTGAGCATGAGACTAGGGCACCACTTGCCAAGCTCTGGCTGCCCCTGTTGAGTGCACCCTAGGAGCATGCTCTGAAGGGACAATCCCTTCTTCTGCCTTAGGAAATTTATTTGAGATGGGTTAAGGAGACTGAAGTTCTTATTCTGGCTTTCTTTGTGGCTATATTTTTGGTGTAACACCTGCAGGGAACAGATCCTCCGAGTGAAGGCTGAAGAGGATAAAATTCCATTGCTCGTCGTGGGAAACAAGTCTGACTTGGAGGAGCGGAGGCAGGTACCCGTTGAGGAGGCCAGAAGCAAAGCAGAAGAGTGGGGTGTGCAGTACGTGGAGACATCGGCCAAGACTCGGGCCAATGTGGACAAGGTAGCTTCCCTCTCTGGGTGTGACTTGGACAGACTTTGGATGGAGGAGAGCAGAGCAATTTCACCAGTTTGGTTTTGGAGGAACCATGTATGGGATGTAGGCAAGGAGTCTGGTTTCTGCAGGTGTCTCGGCCATTACAATGAAAAGTATCAGATGGGTCTGACACTGTATTTAAAGCAGCCCATAGGGTCCCTTCCCTTTGCCATTAGGCTTGGTTAGTGGATGCACATTTTTGGCACAGTGCTTGGGAAGTGTGGCAGGATGAGGCCATTGGTTTGTGAAGCCAGCTGGAAGGGGAATGACCCTCTCTCTTCTCCACAGCTTGCCACTGGATGGTGCGGGCAGAGCTGGCTCTGTCAGACTGCTGCTTACCTGGCCTGGAAAGGAACGGGCCATTTTTTGATTTTGCTTCTGTTGAATTATCTAAAGCAAAAGGTGAAAGATGTATTCTTTGCACCTGACTGTCCACTGCCAGAGCCAGGCGTTGCCTTTACCATTTAACCTCCAATTAGAAGATGCTTTCAGGAATTGAGTCTCTGGGATCTTTGTCTTTCTTATCCCATCCTGAGATCACGTCCTCAGACTTCTGAAGCTGCCACAAGTGACCATAACCACAATGAACATTGACAGCTTGAAAATCTTACCAGGGATGGCTATTATTAGACTTTTTTTTCTCTTTCTTTTAAATTAAAGTTCAAGGTGGTTTCCACACAGCTAAAATGAGCACCTGAAAGGTGAGGCTTCCTCTCCTGCCTTCACCTTGTGTACTGGCACTTGCTTCGTGATCCGCACTCCTGTACGGTCCAAGCACATAGGGTGCGGCAGCCAAGGAGGTCTGTGTGCTTCATGCTCTATGTTGGCGGCAGCATCCAAATTTCCAGGTCCCTTTTTCTGTTTCTGTCTTGGGGAGAAATAATTTCCCTTTGCTTTTTAGCTGATGGGGAGAAATTTTTAATTGAGCTTTCCCGTATCTGGAGGTGATGCTAGAGAGAGAGTGGGGTGGGAGTTGGCCAGGAGCACCTCACTGCAGCTCGCACCAGCGTCCACAGCTCACGTCTGTTGTAGGTCACAGGGTCAGGCATGTTCCTTTGCCAGCTGCCTCTTCTCTGTGCTGCTGTCTCCACTCTTGTGTGGATTCTTGTGCCATTCAAAAATGGTTATCAGATTATGTCCTGTGGGAAACACACAGGAAATCCAGACAAATGTTTTTTTTTTTACAAATCAGAGAAACTTTCTCAGCACGGGACTGCTGCCGTGTGTTTTTGATGGCCAGGATGGCAGGCGGAGGGAGCTGTCACAGTTGTCACCTCCTCCACTGGACCAGCTTGACCTGCCGAACAGGAACCAGCAGAAACTTATGACTAGCAGCATTGTATTCACTGGTAAATAGTTTCCAAGAAAGAATGTTGCTGATAAGATCAGCTGATGAACACGCTTGTCATAATTTTGAGTAGGGTGCACTCCATTCCTCTCCTCCTGCTTACATTTTTAGGGTGGAAGGAAAAACTTGTAGCATTTCAAGCTGCTCACTGATGCTTATGTGGCCTTGTTCTTTCCTGAGAGCTTGGCAGAAAGGGGTGTTTAGGTCAGCCCAAGCCGGCTTGAGGGTCTTTTTTCTTTGCCTGGGCTTGTCCTTAATGCACAGGGAGTCCCACATTCCAGAAGAACGATCTTGCGTTTCACCAAGAAGAAAATCTGAAAATAAAAGATAGGAAGTGGTAGTTTTGTGTGGCTGTTCAGAGATAAAAGCATGTGCTCCCTGTCACTTTCTATCTCCCTGGTTCTCTGTGAGAAGTCTCAGCCTGCTTTCTGTAGGAGGCGTATTTTGTCTGCTTGGCTATAATCAGGCCTCTGGCAGAGTTGCTCGTAGTAGTGGGCAAAACCCAAACCATTGTGACAAATGATAACCTTTATTTAAATAACACTCTGACATTTAGAGGCCAGGTCTCATCACTTCTTGATACAGTGCCTGTCAGCTAACGTGGTGAGGACCTGAAAGCCAGGATCTGGGTGTCTTGGGGAGGTTACCGTGACATGGGATCTTGCTTCTCCCCTGGGTGCATAGAGCAGGAGCTGCCCGCCGGCTCCTCTCCACCGCCTTCCCAGGTTTGCTGGTAACTGAGTCTCCCTGGGAAGTGTCACTGCTGTCCCAGCCCCTGTGGGGTCTCTCCCACAAGGACTAAGTGAGATGTAGTTATGTAATTAAGCACCCAAGCATAGGTACTAGAATCATTCTTTCCCTTTTGTGGTGGTTGGAAATGTTAGAAGGTCTGATTCCCATTGCCACTCTTAATGTTTGTAAATTTCACAGTTATATTAGATCTGTTCTTGGCAAAAACATAATTTTACTCTTCATCATACTTGAAAGATCGTATCATTTTGAGATGAGCTGTAGAAAGGTAATAACACTGTGATCCTGTTCTTGCTAACCTAACCATTGTGTGGTGTGAGCCGCGATGTTTGCATTGTAGGATTAGAATGTTTTTTGTGCTGGAGATGTAGCTCAGGGGTAGAGCACTGGCCCGGCATGGGTGAGGCTCTGGGTTCTATCCCTAGTGCCACTAAAAAATGCTTTTGAGATTATCTGTATTTGCTCTAGACCCTGTTTTTGACAGTGAACGGCTTACAAAAATAAGTTTGATGTTCTCTGCTGTAAAAGTGCAACTACATACCCTGCTCATTTGTTTCACTAAATCGCTGAGTGGGTTTTTCCTGTTCTTTCTTTCCCTGCTCCCAGGTGTTCTTTGACCTAATGAGAGAAATCAGAGCAAAGAAGGTGTCAGAAAACAAAGACAAGAATGGCAAGAAAAGCAGCAAGAATAAGAAGAGCTTTAAAGAAAGATGCTGCTTGCTGTGAAGACCAAGCTGGTGGCGGAAACCCATTGCTCTGAGGACCTGGGGCTGTGCTTGACCTCTAGTTGTTACTTCTGCTCTCCCCAACCTGTTCACCTGCACTTCTGTAAATGGGGAGAACACTTGTGAATCAGTGGCTGGCAGAGGAAGTAAGCCCTTGTCCACACAGTGGACTGGCTGCTTTGTCAGAGCGCAGAGGTTCTGCTCTCCCTTCCTCCTTCCCTCCCTCCAGGCGGTTTAGGTATAATGCACTGTAGGTAGGAGACAGACAAGTCTGGATTTTTAAAAAGTATTGCAATAATATCTTATTTTCCTCTAGTTTTATAACTCTATCTTGTTTTGCAATAAAGTTGTCTTTTTAATAGGTTTTAGGACTGTCTAACTCTTATCAATTTAACAGTAGTACTCAGAAAAATCCAGCAAACTCTAGTGATACTTGACAAAACCCAACATTTTTTAGATAAGTTTTTTGACAGCTCCCTGTGAATCTGAAGCATAGCTAGGAAAACGAACTTGAATTAGGCCACGTAGGTCAACACCAGGATCTTAAATCTTCCTTATATATATGAAACATGGAAGCTGTAAGTTATTTTCTTCACATTTAGATATTGGCCAGTCAGTCTACATTGGCTGTTTTCCTCCTCAGCCTCCTGATGTTGTGTAGGAAATGATTTTGGGGTGGTGGACTAAGTGAAGACACAAGAGGAGTATACTTTACAGATGACACACTGTTGTAATCAGGTCCTTGTGAAGCCCTCTCCTACCTGCTGGCCGCCTGGCGCGGCCCCTCTTCACCTAACCACAGCCCTGCCCTGATCCACGGAGCTGCTTGCAGAGGTCCCGTGAATTGCCCCTTCTTTTGCTCAGTGTTGGATGAATCTTCTGGAAAATGTGATGACTCAAAATTGTATCCTAAAACCATGAAGCCAGAGCCTGTGCCCAACCTGCTACCTCTCATAGAGTTGCTCAGAAATTCTGTTTTCAGTTAGAAGTGGGGAAAGATAAGCCACTGCCCCATTACCAGGGAATTGGCTGCTGTTTCTCATGTGATTCTTTTCCAAGATAGTCGTGTCGTTAGTCAGAGAGCGATTTGTATTGAGGAGAGATCAACCTTCATATTGTATCAGTATTCGAAACTCAGCAATCAGAAGTGCTCTCATCGGGAAAGGATTACTGTGACCAAAGTCTGGTGTTCAGCCCCCCATTTTTCAGAAGTGAACATTACATGTTTAGGTGCCAAAAGTGAATTGGTGTGGGGAGAGCAGGAGCCTGTGGGATTTATGGTCTGACTCCTGGAAGCCAATCTTGCATCACCTCCCAAAGAATCATGGGCCTTTTTGAATAAAAAATAAAGCAAACACACTTTTTCAGGATCTCAGCCTTTTTTTTTAATCCCCTCATCATATACATAAAATGTAAGTGATAAAAATTGACAGTAAGCCATTCATTATTGTACTTATCAAATAGTCTGCAAAACTGGACAAGCTTTATTTCAATTCTTTGAGGTTTTTTGGGGGGTGTTGGTACAGGGATTGAATTCGGGCCCCTGCGCTTGTGAGGCAGGTGGCGGAACCACTGAGCTAAATCCTCCAGCTCTTGATTTGAATTAGGAAATGAAGTTATGATTATAAGTTGGGTGTGGTGGTACACACCCTTAATCCTAGCTGCTGGGGAGGCTGAGTGTGGTAGGAGGATTTCAAGTTCAAGACCAGCCTGGGCAATGTAGCCAGTTTCAAAACAAAAAAAAAAGATCTGGGATTATAACTTAGTGCTAGGGTACTTGCCCAATATGCATAAGGCTTTAGGCTCAACTTCCAATACCGCCCTCCAATCATTATTTTAATTTGGGAGAGATTATTGTTCACTCTTAATAAAATTTTAAAAGTTGAAGGCAATTTTGTACTTTGGAATTTCTGAGATAACCTTTTTGTTTTCATTCTGTTGTGCTACCCATTTGATGTCAGTTCTGGTTAGGAATGGGTAGACTTGAAATATGGACAAATGAATTAAAGGTGGTATGAGTTAAACAGAGATAGGATGGGCCAGGGATTTAGTTCAGTGACACTGCTATCTGTCTTATAAGCGCAAGGTCCTGAGTTCAAACCCTGGTACCAAAAAATAACAGAGAGATGGAATGGATTATTTCATGTTACAGAAATTATACTTGGTGTATATTAGTATATTGCTAAAACTATATGTAATAGGATAACAGAGAAAGATCTTTATAACCAAATTATTATACTTAATGAGATTCTTTGCCATAGAAAAATAAATAATTATTTATAAATTTGAAACAGATTTGCTAGGTAATTAGATATTATGGCCATAGCTTACAATTATTTGAGCACCGGGTACAGACTCCAGCCTTGGTGCCAGGGATATGGTGTTAAACAAGATGAGAAAGGCCTCTGTCCTGGAGTTCATTCTTCAGTGAGGAAAGAACCAAGTAAAAGCCTCCATGTGAGGGCTTTGAAAAACAAGCCTGGGTAATTCGAGGAACTGTTTCTAGGAGGTAGAGCTGACTTAGACTGGATAGTCAACAGGTTGCCAAGTGAGTGACCACATGGCTGGAGGAGCCGCCATGTGAGAAACAGGGAATGCTAGTTATCCCAAGGGCCCTGAAGGTGTTCGGAAAACATCTAAGACCAGTATGTGGCTGGATCATCACAAAGGAGGAGCAGAGTATCAGAAAAAGAGGTAACAGTGTATGATTTCATAAAGTGGCACCAGGTGGAACACCCTATAGACAGAGTCTCTTACATATACCTTTCCTAGTTCATCCAGTGTAAGGACACCACTGATTGCAAATATATACCTCTACTACCCTACCTGTTATATGAATCCAGCCTGGCTTCACGGGTGTAAAAATTGCACGTGTGTGTGATATATGGATTAAATAAGTGAATTATGGTATATAAATTTAAATGTGGCTAATTGTAAAATTCACCTCTGCTATTCTAGAAATGGCATTCTAGTAAAGCACCACAGGAGGTTAATAGGGTATGAGTATTCAGTGGAAGGTGCTAAGAATATTGGTAAACTGATATTTTAATTTTCAATGAAATCAAAACTACAATTGTATGTGCTGTCAAATTCTGATGGTCTATAAGTGTTTGTATCAGAAGGGGTTCAGTCTTGCTCCTCCCTTTTTCATCCCTGGTCTTCGAAGGTCACATTTAACCATTTCTGCTCTCAGATAATTTTTTTTTTTGGTACTGGGGATCGAACTTGGGACCTTGCATTTGCAAGGCAAGTGGCAGACCAGTGCGCTAAATCCCCGGCCCTCTCAGATCATTCTTGGGGTACTCCTGCATTTCTGCATAATGTTTTTAGCCTGTTACTTTTTGATTTGCAACTTCAGACATTTTCCCAATGGCAACTTAACATACTAAGTGAGGATTTTGCTCCCTCCTTCCCTACACTCCATCCATGTGGCCCATGGTAACATCACTGCTTTAACTCCCAGCACGGTGACTGCTACACCTTTTGAAACTCTTTGAACTTCTATTTATCATCTGGTTTAACTCTCACAAGACATCAGGTTCTCTACTCCTGACTTCAGTCCTTGTCTTCTCTGTTAACTTTTGCTTTCAATGATACCAAAAGGGATTATGTGTATATCCCATCCCGGGACAATCCAGACCTTTTGTGCTTTCTCTATAGGTTCATTCTAAAAGTTGAATCCCAATGCACAATGATTTGATATTCTGAATCTTGTAAATAGGACTCCTTGCCGAGCCAGACACTGAATGGTGATTGGATTTCCTTCACTTGACCGTTCCAGGGCCAGCATTCAAAGGTTGGTGCACCAAGTGTCCAGTCACATGGACTTTTCCATTGATTGCCAGAATCTGTGCACCTTGAGCTCCCCTACCCCCACATTGCCTGAAGTCTGACTGCTTTTTTCTTGAGAAAACGTTCTTTTTCCCCTGGCACCAATTTGTTTGGCTTTCTTGCCATTGCTTGGATTTTTGCCTCTATTCCTCTGAAAATATTCTGCTTAGAGCTCACTGACTGCATGATTTAATTTTTATGGATTCCTTTTCAGGTACCGAGACTTGCTTTCACTGGGCACATGGTCAGCCCATTCTTTCCTGGGCTGTCCATCTTCCTTTGTTGGACTTTACCCTCATTTTGTTAGGGTACATTTTCAAGAAGGGAAGAATATCTGAGAATGCCGTAACTTTTGGTCATTATTTGGTGGCTAATTTGTCTTGGAATAGAACCTTGGGTCAAAACCGCTTTCCCTCAAAAACTGGGAACCTCTGCTCCAGTGTCTCCAAGCATCCATTGTCATAGATCGAACTGGCACCCAGGGGCCACCCCTTGTTAGGGTCTCTGCATTTCCTCAATGTGTTACTTTCATCACCGATAAAATATTTCAGATAACTTATAAGGTAGAAAGTTTCACTTTGGCTCACAGTTTTAGAGGTCTCAGTCCATATTAGGTTGACTCTTGACTTAGAGGCCTGTGGTGAGGCAACACATGGCAGGAGCACTTGGCAGAAGAAACTGTTCATCTCGTGGCAGATAAAGAGAAGGGGAAGAAGGGCTGGGATGCCAGTGACCCCTTGAGGGCACACAGTGACCTAACTTCTTCCCACCAGGCCTACAGACCCCACCACCTCCCACTTGGGCCACAGGCTGGGCACCGAGCCTTCAGGACATGGGGGGTCACTTGTCTGAACCCTGGTTATCTGCAGTGTTGACACAATGGGGTCTTTGGTGGTCTGTTGTGTATCTTCCAATGATGTCTGCTATCTTCAGCTCTAGAAATGTTTTTGAAATTTGATCATTTTTTCTCTTCTATTTTCTGTTCTTTCTTTTCAGATTGTTACCAGATTTTGGACCTCTTAGAGCTATATCTGCTTTATCCTTTCTTAGATTTTCTATCTTTATTTTCTCCCCAGTTCATCCTCCCTCCTTTTTTCCTTCTCTCCTTCCTTCCTTCCCTCCCCTCCTCCCTGTCCCTCCCCTCCTCCCTCTTCTTCTCCCTCTCCCTCTCCATGTTATTGCTGTTGCTTATGATTTGCCAAACATGAGGGTAGCTTTCCGAGATACAACTGTGGGCAAAACAGACAAAATTCTTTGCCTTTCTGGAGCTTACTCTAGCGGAACCAACTTCCTCTTCTAACTCATTACTCTGGTGTGAATAAGGGCTTCATCTTTAATTGTTCTTTTCCCCATAGCATCTGTTCTTGTCATTATGTACTGGATTTCTTGACTTTCTAGGGATGTGAGAGCTTTTAAAAGCTGTATTCCAGAACTGTATTTTTAAAATTTTTGTTTTTGTCTCTATTTTTTAAGCTACAAGCTTTCCTCAAACACCTAATGATTCCTGGTTGGGCCGCTGTCCTTGGGAGGGGCTAGAAAGTTGACTAGAGACTCTTCATACCTGAGTGGGGCTTGTGAGACAGTAGGCTGGACGTTAGGCTGGGTGGGTAGAGACGAAATCATGGTGCTGGGGACCCCTCCTGCCTGGTCCTGAGAAGTCAGACCCTGGGGATCAAATGCCATCTTCTCTTCAGATACTTTCTATGCAGAGAAGAGGCCTG